ATTTGGCCTATGCTCAAGCAGGGGTTCAGCTTTGGGTGACCTGTGGCTCTGGCTACCTGAACAGGAAGACTTTCCAGGAGGGTTGATGTATTTGTGCTGCCAGAGGTTCTCTCTGGAATAGGTTTAATGTCAGTGAAATAATCTGTCAGTGAATTCAGGTCCTGGGATCACCAGGAAAAGGCTCACGGTCTTCATGACCACAGTAAACTATGTCAGTGTAACAACTAGTTTATTACCTCATTGCCTTCTCAAGGTCTTTTAGTGGTGACTGGGCCCCACAGCAGCAGATACCTGAATTCCTCATTTGCAATATGTCTCTCTCTCTTCAGCTATGACTGCAAGAACTTAATCTTTGGTCAGACCCGCAACCCCCTGATGTTCACCAGGACCCCCGGAGGCTCCTCTGGTGGAGAAGGAGCACTTATAGGAGGTGGTGGGTCCATCTTGGGCATTGGGACAGATGTAGGAGGGAGCCTGCGTTTTCCTGCTGCCTTCTGTGGGATCTGTGCAATCAAACCCACAGGGAAGAGGCTCAGGTACTGTGAGAAATGCAGCAGCATCTCTGGGTGACAGCCACGCTACCAACCACTGTGCTGGGATGCTCCTACTCCTGTGGGCAAGGGGAACTTGGGAAGAGCTGGGAAGAGCTCGTTTATCCCTCCTGCCTGGGCAATATCTGAGGCCTATATGGAGGGAAGCATTGGTTCCCCCAGAATGGAGGTGGGGAAGCCTCTTCATCTGCTTGCTGAGGGGATGGTTCTTCCTGACTGACATGGCCTAAATCACTCAGGCTTAGACTTTGTCTCTTGAGCTTTCTCTTGGCCCTTCCTTCAGCCAACGTTCACATCTGCAATTTTAATTAATACTTGCTGCTGCTTAAAGCCTTTCCCTTCAATGAAAACTACTCACTGCTGTATTTTTTGCGTCTCTTTTCTTTACAGCAAAAGAGGAGTAATGGCTGGAGTCGTTGGGCAGAAGGCAGGTAGGAGTTGATGCCTGTCCCCCAGCAGCAGGGCAGGGGTGAGAAGGACCCTCAGCTGGTTATGGAGAACTTTCTCCATCACATTTAGGGAGAAGCAGGTTCCCTTTCAGGGATTTTTATTACATGAGCTGAGAGGAGTTGTTTGTGTAGCATAAACCACAATGCAACCTGTTACCCACAGGGTGTGGCCTTGTCTGTCACTGCTTTGTGAGGGTGGGATTAGCAGTCAAATGTCTGATGTTGTCCTTGTGTTGTGATTGACAAAGCTTTTTGTTTATTTTTTTAGTCATGAAATGGAGATGTCAGGGTGCACATTAATGGATGGCAAGTCAGTCCATAATGATGGACCTGTGGGTGGGAAGGCACTCATGGGCATCCCCTGCCCAGTTCTTAAAGAGGAACTATTGTCAATGCTACATTAAGACAAAACCATGCCAAGAGGACCTGGTTGTGCAGAACATGCCCTTGAAATACCTTCAGCCATGAATGCTCTCTTGTGGTCTCTTCCAGTGGCTGCAGCAGTGGGACCACTGGCAAAAGACGTGGAGAGCCTGGCGCTGTGCCTGCGGGCGCTCCTGTGCAAGGACATGTTCAGCCTGGACACCACAGTGCCACCCCTCCCCTTCAATGAAGAGGTACAGAGCCTCCAAGGGGCCAGAGATCCCCGGGGAGAGCTGCAGGCTGAAAATACCCGACCCACGGGTGGGCACCTGGGCAGAGCCAAGTGCTGCTTGCCAAACTCGCCCCATGGCGTGGGTGTGCTGCTGGCTCCTTGGCACCCTTCCAGCCCATCTCCCTGTCCCTGCAGGTGTATTCCAGCACAAAACCCCTCCGCATAGGCTACTACGAGACCGATTTCTTCACCATGCCCAGCCCGGCCATGAGACGCGCTGTCCGCGAGACCAAGGAGCTCTTGGAGGAGGCTGGCCACACGGTAGGGCCTTGGGGCTGCTTGGACAGGAGGACAAGCCCATCCTGTGTCTTTTGACTCAGTAGTTGTTGCTCAAAGGGCAAACATTGTTTTCAGGGAAGGATGGAGGTTTTCCTGTGGGCTTGTCAGGAAATCCTCGGCCCGCTTCAAGCCCTCGGTGGCTTCTCCCAAACAGTGCCTGTGCCACTGATACCCTCCTCCATTGTCCCTCCAGCTGGTGCCCTTTGAACTCACAAATGTGGACTACGTGATCTTTAACTACTGTGTCAGGGGAATGTTTGCAGATGGAGGCAGCTCCTTTGTCAGGAAATTGTAAGTGTGGCCTGGAATGGTTTGGTGGGATTGGTGCCTGTCTATAGAAATTCTCCCTGGGGTCTGGCTGGACTTGAGATACAGGTAGCAGATATAGTGGATGGAGGTAGTGGCTGGTGGGCATTGGGAGGGGCTTAAGTGATTCAGTACCTTGGTTCTCTTTGGGATTGTTACCAGCCTTGGAAGGAGTCTGGGAGCTGATATTCTGTAAATGCTGTGAGAATCAAGTGTTGTCTAGCAGAATACAGCAAACCTCTTTTTGCCAGTGGGATACACTGTTCAGAGGGGTTGGCCTGGGAAAAGCTGATCTGCTGTGATTGCTTCCTACCACTGCTCAGCTAAATCCCCCCTCTCCCTTTCAGCAAAGGGGAGATGGAGAAAGGAGGCATTGGGCTGTTCTTCTGGCTGGCAAAGGCACCACATTGGCTGAAAACTCTCCTCTCCTGGATTTCCAAACCTTTTGTAAGGTCCATTTCTTTCTAGTGTAGACAGAGTTAAGCTTTATGTGAATAACTTGTCTCTCTTTGCAGTAAGGCTTCCTCATAGAGAAGCCTCTGGGCATTGTTATATGGCTATCATCAGACACATCTCCAAACTGGAGTGATGCTATTTCTGTTCCTTTTCTCCCCACTTTGGGGAAAATCCACTGAAAAAAGAACTTCTATTTGTGACTGAGCTGTCTCAGAGGACAGAGCTGGGATTAATTTTTTTTTTTCACTTTCTCCTGCTTAGGTGCCTCGATTTTCAAGTATCATAAGAAGTATGAAAGAAAAGTGAGTAAATCTCAGACTGAGCAAATGTGTGAGGATTTGTTTTGCAGCAGTGTTTGATACATTACTGATACTGCTGCAGCTGCATGTGTCTGAGAGAATGCAAGGCAGAAAATGCAAGCATAGAAGCAAACAGAGCAATTTGTGTCAACACCATAACCCTGCTGGGTTTGGAAAACTGTTTGGAATTTGAGGGTGGAAATGAAAGCAGTGTCACAGCCTTTTGCTTTGGAAGAGGATGAAGCTTGTGGGAATGAAATATGGTGTTGGCTTCAGCACTGGTTAATGCATCCATCATCCCAAGAGTTAGGGATGCCATAAGGCAGAAAGAAGGTGTGAAAGAAGCCTTTCATTGGGTTTGCTTCCTTTTACAGCACAGTGGATGAAGTCTGGAGCCTTCATCATGAAATCGAGGTGAAGTATTACAGTTTGGGGTTAAATGCTTTTTGTTTGCTTTCTGTCTGGGAACAGTCAGATTCAGCACTCACCAAGGATAGGAGATGATCAGGTCTCTGGGGATGTAAGATGGGAACACATCACTCCTCAACAGATCTCACTTGGATGTGCAAGTTCTCAGCACATTTAAACACATAGGCAAGTTCATGATGCCAAATCACACCTGAATTTTTGACACCTGCATATAAAAATGTAGGTCATCAGACTTGCCTTTATTTCCTTTCTGGTTTTCCAAAAACAAAAACCTATGTCTCAAGTCACCACGTGCCTGTGCACTCAGTCTTTGCCCATCTCCAGTTTACCAGGGAGAGGGTGCTTTGCTGGGAGGAATATTGTCCAGGCAGCAAAGCATTGCTGGCTTTTAGCAGGATCAGGCCTGATGTAGCCTGTTTGCTGCTCCCAGAGAAGAGCCAAGAGCCCAGCTGAATGCCCAAGGAGAGCCTCAGCCGGCAGCTGTGGGACAGTACATCCACCCCACTGACCACCAGCACATTTCCTCCTCAGGACTTCTGCCACCAGTTTGTTTCCCAGTGGCAGAAGCTGAATCTGGATGTGATGCTGTGCCCCATGCTGGGCCCTGCTCTCGGCATCGGCTACCCCGCGAAGCTCTCAGGTAGGGCACTGACAGGGGACCCTGGCTGTGTCCATCAGCAGATTCCTGCTTCCCTCACATCCCCAGCAGCAGGAAGAGCTCAGCTCTTGGCACAGCTGCGACCCAGCCCACGGGGTGCACCTGGAACACCCCCCGGCGCAGCGGGAGCCAAGGGGCCAATTCCCATCCCTCAGCGCCCGAGTCCCAGTGCCAGTGCCCCGTTAGCTGGGGTCCTGCAGAGGGGTGAAGGCTTTCCCTGTGCTGGCTGGCACTGCAAGCTCCCCCTCTCCCCCAGTGGCAGTCAGCTACACCATGCTCTACAACGCCTTGGACTTCCCTGCTGGCGTCGTCCCCGTCACGCTGGTGACGGATGAGGACGAGGAGCAGCTGAAGGGCTACAAGGGATACTACCAGGACTGGTGGGACCGGACCCTGGCGAAGGTGAGCGGTGCCAGGTTCTCCAGGGGCACGAGCTGCCCCTTCCCTTCCTCTGGACGTGCCCGAGCCTCTCCCTGTCTCTGCTCCAGGCTTTCCGTGGCAGTGTGGGGATGCCCGTGGCCGTGCAGTGCGTGGCCTTGCCCTGGCAGGAGGAGCTGTGCCTGCGCTTCATGAAGGAGGTGGAGACCCTCAGCCTGAAGAAGAACAGCTTCTTCTGAGCCTGCTCTGCAGGAGCAGGGTCCCAGCCAACAGCAGCGTGGGCCATCCTTTGGTGTGACCCACAGACTCTTGTTCCCCTCAGTGAGGATGCAGTGGTGGCTGAGCCGGCTGCTGGATTTGGGAGCAAGGCGAGCTCTGATGTGGAGCTCTTCCAATAATTGTCCCAACACAACAACAACTTTTTATTATCTGAGTTATGTCTGTTATTTCCAGTCTGTGTTTGTGTGTGGGGTTGGGGTGGATTTTAATCACCCCAGAGAAATACAAGAATGTCAACTTTCTGTTACAAATGGGGAAACTGGGGCACAGGCACTGGTTCTGTCTGAGATGCTCAGACTACTACTTGGAGTGCTGTAGGAACAGGGATGTTCCCCTCTGTTCTCACCTCCCTGAGGATAAAATCTGGCGTTTTCCGTAGCACAGACCAGCAGTCAGAAGGGAAAACTGAGCCTCCATGCAGACTCTGGCAAGCAGGGATGGAGCTGGCCCACTTCCCACAGGGCTGCTGGCACCCTGCACAGCATGAAGGAGAAACAGTGGAATTGCAGAACAGTTTGTGTTGATAGGGCCCTTAGAGATATCTCTTTCCAATCCCCTTCCACAGGCAGGGACACCTTCCACTAGAACAGGTTGCTCAGAGCCTCACCCATCCAGGTCTTGAACACTGCCAGCAACGAGGCATCCACAGCTTCTCTGGGCAGCCTGTGCCAGGGCCTCACCACCCCCAAGGAAAAATGTCTTATATCTCACCTATATCCACCCCCTTTCAGTTTGAAACCTGTGTTGAGCAGCATGCCAAGATCAGATGGACAGCAGACAGCCTGTCCTGCACATCTTTTCTTCCCATTTGGCCCATGCCAGGTTTTCCAGCAGGATTTTCCAGCCACTGGCAGCCCCTGTTGCTGGGGTTGGCAGCACTGGCTGCTCCCAGCAGGTTTCCAAGGGTGTTCCAAAAGGAATACCACAACGCAAAAGTGTTTTCTCAATGTGGGAGTGCCAAATGCAGATTGTAAAAAAGCTCTGGCAGGATGAATGTTTGGGTTTTTAATATATTGTTGTAGTTTAAACCATGCAAAAGCATGGAGCATTTTCAAGGGCTTGGGGTAGTGTTTATCACAGCCAAGGAGAAAACAGCCCCCAGGAACCCCCCCAATTCTTTATCAGCAGGCTTAGGAGGGAGGGAGCTCCAGGCATCCCATGACTGAATGCAATGTAAAGCCAAACCCTGAAGAGCCTGGGTGGGGTTAGAGGTGCTTTCTTCCCACACAAAATTGCTGGATATGTTTATTTCAAAATTCAAGCCTGGAGGACTTGTCCCAGGGAAGGCAGTGCCACCTGCACCCCTGTTTTCAGAGCCAAGCACCACGTCACTGCTGGTTTGACCACTCTCTCCCTGGCGTGGAGGTGGGCAGGGTGCAGAAGTCCAAACCATGGAGCCACCAGTGAACCCAAACCTGTAATTATTCCTCACTGGAAGCCCTGAGGGAAGACCTCCAGCAAGCCATGCCCATGGGACAGAGCGCCAGGTGAGGCTGGAGCTGCTGGGTGGCTTTGGGGACTTGAGGCTGCCAGCTGCAGGCTGCTCCCAGCCCAGCCTGGGCAGCAAGGTGTTGGTGTGAGTGGCAGCACTGAAGCACTGAAGGCTGGGATGGGGCAGTGAAGCCCAGTCAGTGGGGAGAGGTTTGTGACATCCCCACTGAGCTGTTTGGCTCATTTTGCTGCCTGACCTGTCCAAAGAGGGAGGATCCTCCTCAGTTTTCCTGTCAGCAGTTTCTCTGCAAGGTCTCGCGTCTTCCTCAAGCTTCCTCCCTGCTGCCACAGCAATAATCCCACAGGACATGTAACAGGCAAGGAAGTAACATGATATATCAGCACAACCACTGGCTTCAGTTCCCAAACGAGACCCCTCCACCAGAGAGCAATGGTTACTCTGGACACTCTCCCCTTACAAGCTGTGCTGCCCTGCTGACTGGAGCAGAGCCAGCATCTCTCCAGAAGTAGGGGGGTTTGCCTTGCCTCTTGGCAATGAGCTCTCAGAGGCACCCCCTGTCCCTTCCCTGGGGGCTTGCAGGTGTTTGAGAACTGAGAGAAGCTTAATTTTTTCAGCCTTTCCTTTTCACACTAAGCCACAGAACCGCCCTGGGCAGGGGAGCAGCCATGGCAAGGGGCAGCTGGTGAGACTACATGGTCCAGCTCCTTTGCATTCTGCTGTCTGCAGGCTGGGTTAGAAACAGGAGAGCAGGCTCTGGATCCGTCAGAGGGGATTTTCCAAAAGTGCTTGCCCTCTGATTCAGGTTGCCAAAATGCTTTTCAAAGGGACTTTTCTTGAAAATGATACAGAGCAGTCACTCCTTGAAGGCACCTTCAGAGAGCTCCTTCCACACTGCATTTCCAGAGCCACTGTTGCACCTTCATTCACTTGGTTCTCCTGAGCTCCCATCTCTCCACAGGGACACTTCGGTTCCCTACACAAGGATCCCCAGGACAAGCAGAATTAAGTTTTCCCAGGCCCACAGGGCTGCAGGTGATGCTGCCTGAGGGATGGGGATGATGGCTGAGCACTGCTTGCTAGTGGGCTTAAGCATTCATTAATTACTACACGTGGGTATAGCAAGGCCAGCCCAGAGCTGGGCTTTGCTGGCATTCAGCTGTGTGAAGCCAGGTACAGCCACAGCCACTGGCTGGGGGAGTCACAGCCTTGGGGACACCCCTGCCTTGGGGACACCCCTGCCTTGGGGACACCCCCAGGCTGAGTAAGCTGAGCACTCTGCTTTGCAGCCTGACCCACAGTGCTGCTCCAGCAGCCAGACCCTTTCAAAGCCCAGGGTCTGCAAAGTCCATTCCTGGGCTTTGTTCAAGCAGCTCTGCTTCAGAGCTGATCCTGCACAGTGGGCAAGAGCAGGGCCTGCATTCATCAGCCCTCTGAGGAGTAGGTGGGAGAGCCAGGTGTCTGCAGCTGGGCTTAAGAGACAGAATTCATGATCCCAGAGTGGCTGTGGCACATCCTGGATCCATCCTGGGGAGACCTTTGTGCCCTCTGGGCTCTGCTCTGCACTCAGCTGCAGCTGTGGAGCTTCTGAAATGGCTGAGAAGGAGGCAGGTCCAGCAGAAGATGGATGAGGCAAGGAAGTCTTTGCATCTGGCCCTGGAGAGAATGGAGAAGGCAGCTTGCAGGCTTAAACAGGGTATGTGCTTAAACGGAAGGAAGGGATTATAATTTGGATAACCAAAGAAATGGAGGAGCTCTGATCAGTCCCTCTGTGAATGGTGGCTGGGGCATGGGCATGTTTTGGAGCATCACCAACCCAAGGTTTTGTGAGGGTCATGACCTTCCATTGCCTCAAAAGACAGTGTAAATTAAGTATTTCTCAATACAGACCCACTGAGGAAATCCTAAGGATGAAAGAAAAATTGGAGCTGGGAACCTTTCCAATCAGGTCACCACCCCAGACCTCCCACGCCCATTCTCTTCATCCATCCCTACTGCCAAGCCTTTCCTCTCCCATCCTCTTTCCTCTGCCCCTCCATAGGGATCTGTCTGCCCCATCATCCTCAAAGTACGAGGGGTTCCACATTCTTCCAACATCTGCACATCAGCAACCAAAAGCCATTTTCTGCTGCCCATGCCCAGGTAAAGAAACACTTGGATTTCAGGAGGTCAGGCCTTTAGAATTGTCTCAAACCTGAAGAAATACCTCTTGCTATTCTTTTTCTGGAAGGGAGGTTGCAAACAGCTCACATATTTGGGTTTTTTGGGTTTTTTTCCCTTGTTAATGATAATTTTTGTAAACCTTTAGCCGGTTGAACTGCTATTCAGTGAGTTAGAGTTAGAAGGGGAGTGAAGGCCTGTAAGAGAGCAAACAGAGACAGGTCCAACCACTCTTACAGGTTCATGCAACTCTCCAGTCAAGGTGCAGCTTTCTTCCTGTTTTGTTTCTGGTTTTATAAACTAAGACTCAGCAAATTCCCCATCTGCAAATTCCCCACTACAGCACAGTGGTCTGTGGGAGGTCTGCATGTCTACAGGGCATATATCCTAGAATTTTCCACTCAAGGTGATTGCTGGGCAGATGTTAGAATTGAGTGTTTGCAGCCGTAACCAACCTTTTGTGCGTTTTTCTTCCCTCTGTAACCAGTTCTCCACCCTTTGCAGAACCCAGGCACCCAGACCTTGCAAATCCTCTCACTGACAATGATGGAGCTGGAAGAGAAGTTGAAGGAGGGGTCCCTGTCCCCAGAAAGTGTCCTCTACTCCTACATGGACAAGGTAAAGGATACGTCCAGCATGGCAGAGATGCTGCAGGGCTCTTCTACAGTGGGACTTTCAAATTAAAATCAGCTCATTTGCTGAAAAAAGCAGCAATGCTGGGAATTAAAATTTTTGAAGGCTGGCTTACAGGCAAATAAGCAGGACAGAATCCAGGGCAGAAAAACACCTCATAAATAAACATATAATGTTTATAGGTGAGATCTCAGTAATGCTGAAGTTTTGAGAAGGTTGAAAATTCAGCTTGAAAACTCAATATGTAATGTCTCCTTCCATGCATCCATCTGTCTTGCTGCTCTTCTCTGTTCTGGAGAGGCTTTGGAGACTAACTGGGAGGTGAACTGTGTGACAGATTTCATTCATGGATGTGAGGATCAGCTCCAGAAACTGAAGAAGCAAAAGGAGAAGGGGCTGCTCTGTGGCACTCCTATCAGCATCAAGGACCACGTTAACTGCAAGGTTCATGCCCAGTTCCTCTGCCTTTTGCTGTGGATCTGGGAACAAGACAGGATGTTCCATCCTCATCAGGACTAGCTAAGAGTTCCCTCACACAAGAATGTTCTGTATCCAATATTGTGGGACCAGCAAACCAGCCCTTCTTATGATTAAAATTTTGGTTTCTGCAGAAACTTGTAACCTGTTCTGATCTGGTTTTCCCTGGGATAGTCAGGTCCTGTTCTGCCTCTGACAAAATTTAGGAGGGAGCTTTGCCATGAGGGGCATGACAAATTAGGTCTGGTTTTGTCACAGCTCCAAACAGCATCTCTCCTGCACTAAAAAGAGCTTTGTTTCCCATCCCCAAGGGCCACATCTCCTCTGGAGGAATGGTGACACTTCTGGGCCAAGTGAAGGAAGAAGACAGCGTCATTGTCCAGGTTCTAAAGCACCATGGGGGAATCCCCTTTGTGAAAACCAACATCCCACAGACCATGATGAAGTAATGCCATGTTTGCCTTCATGGAAACACCGTGACTCGTGCCTCTTGCTGTCCAAGCTAATCAAGCATGTTAATTGCCTCCTTACTTTGATCTAAAATGATTTCTCTTGTATTTGATGCCTCTTCCTTCTTAAATTCAGCTGTCTCAACAAATCTACTCTATGCCAATTCTACCTTAATTCCACACCCATCCCTGCACAATGCTCTATGCCCTGCATTTATGATTTGCAGAGGCAGAAGTACCTCACTCACCTGCTGATCTTCCTCTCCCCAGCTACGACTGCAGCAACCCCATCTTTGGGCAGACCTTGAACCCTCTCAACCCCAGAAGAGCCCCGGGGGCTCCTCGGGAGGGGAGGCAGCTCTGATGGCAGGGGGAGGCTCCATCCTGGACATGGGCTCGTGTGTGGCTGGCAGCATCCGCCTGCCCTGCAGCTTCTGCGGGCTCTGCAGCCTCAAACCCACAGACAGCAGGATCAGGTACATCCCAGCTCCTGTCCTCTTCTTCCACCCACTGTGGGGCTGCCAGGTGTCCCCCACAGTGCATCAAACTGTAGTAGTGCCTGTGGTTTCCTCCAGGGTTAAGTTAGCATTGAACTTGCTCTGTTAATAACACAAGATTACTTCAATCTGTATCACAAGAAAGACCTATTCAGTTTTTAATAGCTCTGGCCAAGAAGCTGAAAGCAAATACTACAGGATGATCTCCTTTTCAGATGTTTTCCAGCCCTTGCTTTGCTTGCAAGAGTTTTCTGTTTATCAGAGGCAGTTTGGCCATAGATAAGGAGTTTGTTGCAGCAGGGAAAAGAGATTAATACTGTCCCTAGCATCTCCCAGACCATGTAAGTCTTCTTCACAGCCTAAGAAGTGTTGTGTCTTTGCAGGAACTTTTGCCTTCCTGGATTTGGTTGAGAGCAAATGGGAAGTTTGCAACTCAGCATGGTGACTTGCCCTACAGCCTGCTGCTAATCTGCTCCTCCCATTATGTTCCCAGCACACAGGGAGTTGTTGGTGCTCTCATAGGGATGCAATCAGATAAGTCCATGATGACATGTTACTATGTCAAACCTTTGCCTCCTACATCTCCCACCACTGAAATGCCAGCAAGTGTGCTTGCTCTTCCCTGTGCCTCACGGCCAGGCAAAGCAGTGCCCAGTTAAAACAGCCTCGTGTTATGGCATTCTGCACCATTTGTTCTGTTCTCTGTGGTGGCCAGTGTTGGCTGAACCTCAGCAGGATGGAATCAGTGCAATGATGGAATGGAATCAGGCAGTTCAATGCGCAGGGGGAGAGGTGTGAGATGTGCCAAAGGCCTCACTGGAGATGCTGCCAGGAGACTGCCAGCTTCAGCTGCTGCCAGGCAGTGCTGGTGGGAAAGCTGCAGCCCTCTCTCCCCGGTACTGCAGAGGTCATCAGGCTCATTAGGCTGCTCTGCTCCGAGACTGACAGATCATTCCTGCTGGATCTCCTTGCTCATTACACTCATTCCCCACTTCTTCTCCCTGAACTGAAACTGCCCCATGCCCCAGCAGCAGCTCTGTGCCAGCACAGCCCACCTGGCTGCAGCGACAGACCGTCCGTGCTCGCAGTGACGGGCATGCTGGGGCCATGGCCAGGGATGTGCCAGCCTGGCCCTGTGCATGAAGGCTCTGCTCTGCCAGGAGATGTTCCAGCTGCACCCCACCGTGCCCCCCATCCCCTTCCATGAGCAGGTAAGGCTCTCCCATGTCTCCACTGCCCAGCAACAAAGAACAAACTCTGGAAATTCCTAACCTGGTTTCACATCCAAGACAGCAGAACAGCCAGGGAAGCACACCCCTTTGGGACAGAGCACACCCAGCATGAGTGACCCCAGGAAGCAGCCACACAGCAGGGCAGGCAGGCAGGAGGTGCTGTGGGAGAGCCCATACCAAGGACCACTGCTGCAGCCCTGTATTCTGGACAGCTCTGCTTTTCACCAGCCCTGCTCCTCTCATCGTTCCCCCAGCCCAGGAGAGCTCAGCTGGCGCTTCCCTGAGCCCTGGGAGCAGCCCAGGGTTGCTCTTCTCCTGGATGCAATCATGGCTCCTGTTCTCACAGGTTTACACCAGCTCAAAGCCTCTTCACATCAGGTATTTCAAAGGAGATGGTTACTCCCAGCCCTCACCTAGCACGAAATGGGCTGTCCAGCACACGAGGCAGCTCCTCCAGGGTGCAGGGCATACGGTGGGTTTCCATGCCTGTGGTTTCCTGGGGCTGTTACCCTACTCCTAACAAAGTCTGCATAAATCACTTTCCATCTCCACATTTGTTCCCTGTAAAAGAGAAAGGTAAATGCAACAGCTTGTTTTCTAAACTGGAGTGATCTTGCTTGTATTTCTGGTCTAGCGGACATGACAATTATGCTCAGATATCTCCACCCCAGCACTGTTGCTTCCATTGTGCTTGGTGTTCCCATAATATAAAATTCAAAACACTTTCAGTGATCCCTCAGCTGTTAAACACAGCTTGTAGATTTCTTAGTGGGTAAGTGGGAAGGAGGCTGGAGCAGTTGACCCTCCAGGGACTTATTTTAGCCTACATTTTTCTGTGGTTCCACCAGTGGAAATTTCTATATGGTAGCTGTTCCAGTGATGCAAAATAAATTGAAGAAAATTTAGAATTGGTGGTTTGAAGTTTCTAAGAATTCTTCCCTAAGAATGTGGAGGAGTGGAGCCTCTGCCAGGTCCCATTATGTATTAATGCCTTGCATAGGGCTAATGGGAAAAGACAGGAGGCAGATGAAAATGAGCCCTTGCTGTCCTAGAGCAGCAAAGGAAGGTGTGAGTTTCCCACCACTTCCCACTGAGCTCTGGTGAGCACTGATGAGGCAGGGAGGCTCACACAGGGCTCTCAGTCATTCACCTTTGCTGCCTTTTGGACAGGGATGGTTTCCTTGCAGCTTGCTCCCTTTGCCTGACAAAGACCGACTGTGTGGTGATGAGCTGTTCACCAGAGGGATTTTCTCAGATGGGGCGACCCACCTGGTGGACTGCTTGTGAGTAAAACCCCATTGCTGTGAGTAAAACCCCATTGCTGTGTGGGCTGTGAAACCTGCAACTGTGAGGCCAGTGGCTGCACGCAGAGCATGCAAACTGAATAATGAGCAGCACAGGAGCAGTTTCTGGCAGGGTGGCTCTAGCACGAGCAGCAGGCACTCACACACACAGCTAACATGCTCCTGCCCAGCCAGCCACCCTCTCACCTCAGCCAGCCCAGGGCTGTGCGTGGCCCCCCAGAACTTTCATGGCCCTGATGACACAGGCAGTGAAGTACTGACTTATCTGTCACTTTTGACATGAACATTTATACCTCAGCATTTACTGCTCAGTGTTTTCTGTTGAAACAGGCAGATTTTTTCTTCTAGCAACTCCCCTCCAAGACAAACCCTGCCTTGGGAGCAGCGCTGTTGTTCCTATTGCTCTGTGACTTATCTATAGGTTCTTGTCCTGACTTTTTCACTCTCTGCTCTTCCAGTAAAGGAGACATCATGGATGCCAACCTGAAATCCCAGTACAATACTGATAGGCTTCCTGCCCTGGTGAAAAGGATCTTGGCTATCATTTTGAAACCCATAGTAAGTGTGTGGGTGTGTCTCACCTGTATTATAGGAGATCTGCAAGGTGGGGAGGTTTCTTTGTGCAGGGAGGTAAATTGTACCACCCAGGAATGCTTGGCTGCTTCATGTTAATTGCCTGATGGCTTCATAATGAAATACATTTGATTTTTAAACCCAAGCTGAACTTATCAAGTGAGTCTGACAGCCTTTTGTGGGAGTTTTGCATGGGGTGTTGAAATATGATCCTTTCTCAGAAAACCTGTGAGCATACAGCCCTTCCAGCAATGAGCTCCAGGAGAATGGATATCACTAGCGAGGATCTAAACAGCATTCCCACATCCAGAAGATTATTTCCAGGACTAGTAGCGTGGTCTAGAGCCTTATTTGTATGAGTTGTAGTGATTAAATGTGTAAATTATTGTGGGAGTAAACCCTGTTCACTGGAACTGGCCTGTCCTTCAGAGCCACTCCTGCTAGGACAAGACAGATGCCCCAAATGCAGTCACAGGGTAGCCAGCTATTCCAGCTGCATTGTTGTTGATGAATCCCAAGGTTTTCTCTTTCCTCCAAAAGTACCCACGAGTTGCTCAGGATCTCAGTGCTCTCTGTGGAGTGGGGTAAGACACACTGGGGTATCCCTGGAGAAAGGGGCTGTGCCTGGCTGTGCCCACCCACTCATGCAGGAAGATGCCAGCTGGCTGTGGCACAGGCTGAGCCAGGTGTGTGTGTGCTGCCTCTGCAAAACCTGGGCTCAGCACTGACTTATCCAGGGCTTCTCAACCAGAGGGTGTTTTAAGAGCTTAAGGATCCTCAGAGTGACAGGGCTAGGAGGACTCCCTGGAGATCAGCACAGGGAGATAAGGGCTTTTTCCTTATCTGGGTGATACCCAGAGCATCACAGTGCCAAGTTAATGCAGAGGCCTCTGCCTGCACGTGCAGTGTGGTGTGAGGTGCATGCACCTCCAGAAGACACACAGACAGACCAAACTGGTAGCAAATTAATTTAGAATACTGATTTTTATCCAGGTGTTCTGGCATGCTTCAACAAAAGCTCTTTTGATGTACCTGTAAGCATGTGTGCACCAGGGGATCAGCTGGGTGGTACCATTGCTTGTTCCCAGAAGTTATGCAGCTACCTTAAAAATGGGCTGCCTGTGCATTTTCTTAATTGTTTTCTGTTGCCACAGTCACAAAGCTCATTAATTCTGCCACCTTTCCAGATCTGCCAAAAACCTCTGGGATCAGCATGGAGCAGTGGCAGTAATGTGACTTTATTTTTCTTACTATACTGAGAGGTCCCCAAAGTTTCTAAGCAATTGCTTTGCACTCTGTGATGGACTTGGCGTTGGAAATTATTCACTATAGTTTGCCCTGCACTTCCTAAGCAAAAACAGCATAGGAACAGCCACTAAAGATGAGGCTTCACTTTGTCTTTTCTGTCCCTTGTTGTGCATTCTTCATTTCAGATAATAAGTGTTACTGTCCTGACCTAAGGCCATGCTTGAGCTATCAAGCAGAGACATTAGAAGTCAAAAATTTTGTATATGAACCCTGTGACTTAGGTAGCTTCCTTATGAACTCATTTGAGATCAGGAACCTTAGACAGGAAGCTTTTCCCTAGACAACTGCACCCACTGCTGCCACAAGCTGACCAGGTTCCTCTTTTAAACCAGCTGAGTTTTATGCTTCAATTTGGTTTTATTGACTGCCTCCTCTTATCTCTGTTCTGATGCTTGGAAACCATCTTGTTTCCTTTTCTCTTTACTCCCTTCCAGCTTATCCTTATTTTATTTTTGTCCTTGGGTTTAAATAGCACCTCTCCTCCCTGGTATTTTCCGCTGCCTCTGTCTATTTATAGAGAGTATCCTCTTTCAGCTGGTGTTTTGCAACGCTGCAGAGGCTGCTTTGGTGTCCTCCCACGAGCCAGGATCTGTGTTCCCTGGGACACCCTCACAATTCTCCCTGAGGAGAAGCATCCCCCCAGCCTGCACCAGCAGCCTCTATCAGTGCCGCTCACTCCATGGGCTGACAAATTATAGGGCAGAGGAAAAACTCTGAAAAATCTGCCTGGTCACTGGTAGGAGTGCTTGAAAATGAAATGGGAATGTTTTTTTTTTTTTAAGGTGAAAACAGATTCCTCTCCCATTCCTGAAAAAACCCCACACAAAACCAAGCCCAAAAAATAAACATAGAAAAATTAAGACAAACCAACAAAACACACAAAACAGAGCCACCACAAAAACAAACAAACAAAAACCAAACCAAAAAAAAGCCAAAAAGAAAACATTTTAGAAGATTTGATGGCTTCATAGATATTTTTAATTGTTGCAGTTCAGTTAAACTATATTCACTTGTTTTCATCTATTGCAAACAAGAGCTGATTCAAAACTTTTGGCTAGTGACCAGCATTTCTGTCAGTTAAAAAAAGAAATCAGGTTAGCTGGGTGACTGTATTTCCTGGAAACACAACTCATTTGCTAAACTTTCAGCAGGAAGGATCTCAGACTGCAGGTGGAAATTGAGGTCAGACTAAAAAATAGCCCCAAGGCCAGGCCTTTTGTGAGAGAGATGGAAGACTCTTGTACACAAAACTTGCTGTGAAAGGGTTGTGCAGGGCTGGGGCTGGGCCATGGCACAGATGTGTCCCTGTAGCCAGAAAATGGCTGCAGGAACAACCGTGGTTCCATCTGGGTCTGTTTGCTAAAACAAAGTGGAACATCTCTTTGGGGATGGAGTCATTCATTGCCTGGGGTTCAGCAAAGCTGTGGTAAACCAGACTGCAAATCTGGGTCTCTCTTGGAGCTGCAGTGCAATCCTGAAGCTCTGCCTCCTGTGTTGTGGGGGATGTCCTGGGACTTGCCCAAATGTCTCTTGCCTGTATCATCAAGCAGAATGAAAGAAGGTTTTGTAGAAGTATTTTAGCATCATGTTTTTTAATACTTATACCAGAATAACTAAAGCTTTTAGGAAATGTGACTTTTTAGTCATCCAAACAAACTGCTGTTGATCTCCATTCAATATAATTCTAAAACAAAGCTGTTCATGGAAAGGATTGGGTTAATACTCAAATAAATCAGTTCTGAAACACACACCTAGCATTAATGTCTAGGTCTGGGCAGCACATGGCATTCTGACAGGAAACCTAAAAATGGAAGAACAAGCTCCCTTGACCCTTTTAAAGCACAGTTCAGATTTTAAGTAATATTTTTGTTGTATCCAGGAAGGCTTTCTCCCTCCTTTTCCTCTGTGTCAGCATTGATCTGCCACTGCTGTCCGACAGACACATCTGTCATGTTCTGTGCCTTGCCTTCCAGGCTTACCACGCTGAGTTCATCACCACATGCAGGCAGCTAAGGCTGGATGTGATCCTTTGTCCTGTGCTGGGCCAGCCTGCAACCACAGCTATGCTGGGAAGCTCTTTGGTAATGTCCCCTGAGGAGCCTCTGCACGCACCCACGGTGCTGTTTGTGGCCAGAGCTGCAGCAGGACACTTGAGTCCCATGGACATTCCCCAAACTATGCACCTGGCTCTTCCCTCTTGGAGAAAGCAAAGGAGAGGCCTCTGGGTGGGTCTTCTCACACCTCCACCTCACCTGAGCTAAAGAAGCTGGGATAATTCTGGGGCAGCACTAACTCTCTCCCAGTTGTTTTTGGTGAGTTTTCCCTGTTTTGCTGCTGCAGAAAGCCCCAGAACTGCTCCTGCAGCAGAGAGTGGCAGCGAGGACAGCTGTGGTAGATTTTGGTAGAGGACCAGGCTCTTTTGGATGCAGCTGTCTCACATTTTCCAAGACTCTGAAGACAGCAGGAAGACTCAGTGCGTGTGATATGCAGAAAAAGGCCTTTTTGAATAGCTTCCAGCAAATAGTGAGGGTCCTCCATCCCTCTAGCAATGATCTTTTAGGATCCAAAATCCACCCAGTGTTGTTACATAACTGGACATCAGGAATATCTCGAAAAGGTAGCTGGGATTTTCCCCCAGGGATAGAAGCAGACTCTGAACTGGTCCCTCACAGAGCACATCTAATCTCCACACGAGTAACAGGTGAAGGCACAGGTCACTCTGCTCTCTGTCACTCAAACCTCTCCATCAGAAGTGCCTTTGTGGTTTTCAGGGCCTCCTCTGGACCATCCAACTCCAGTCTGCAATCCCTGCAACTCAGGTCACCATCCGAAGGTCACTGCTGGCCCAGCACATTAAATTTTGCCACTTTGCATGCTCTGTTCCAGCTGCATCCTCCTGCACCAGTCTGTGCAATGTGCTGAACTTCCTGCTGGGGTGGTGCCGGTCAGCAGGGCCACGAGAGCCGACCCAGAAGAACTGAAGCACCACCGAGGGCACCCCTGGGACAAGAGGCTGAGAGAGGTCAGCAGGAAAAGAGCTCAAATCTTAGAACCAGCAGAGTGGCACCTCTGGGACATGGTCCCAAGGCTTGTCCACATCTCCAGTGAGGGTGTAGACAAGCCAGACATCGTTCAGCAGCGTTTGCAGCTGCTGTTTCAGCGCCCCGTGGTGCAGCGGGGCTGGTGTTTGTCAGCCTGGCAGCCGTGCCCTCGCTCACCCTCCTCTGCCCTCCCTCCCTGCAGTGTCCCGTGCCTGCCCAGTGCCCTGACTCAGCACTGTCCCAAATTTTGGCAGTGGCAGGAGCCCTGGGCTGCCGTGGCCCTGCACTGCGTGGCTCTTGCCCGTGGCTTGAGCAGAAATGTGTCATTTCTGGGAGCCAGCCTCCAGTGTGATGGCTTTTCACTCCCTGCCCTTCACTCCAGCCACCTTTTACCTAATATGAAGCGAAGCAGATAGTGAGTTGAAAACTCTGAATTAATGTTTTAATAAAGTGGCACTAAATTCTGTTTTAAATAGCAAAAATCTCATCTCTGTCTAAACCGTCCTCATTGTTAGAGTTAAATTGAGTCAAAAAAACAAAAGAAAGGAGTTAATGCTGGACGAAAGGGATCCAATAACAACAGTTTAATATTATTTGTTGTATGGTGTGAGATCAAAGAGCTTTTTATTGCAATATTTTACTTCCAGCAGTGGGCAGGAGCAGATGTTTGTCGGAGAGTATAACCTGGTAAGTACATCATCCTCTCTGGCTGTGCCATTGTTTGGGCAAGAGACTTTTTGGCAAAGACTTTCAGGCAGCCCATGGGTTTAAATAGCTGCCAAGAGAGCTCTCCTCCACAAACTTGTCCCCTTGCTGACTAGACCTCCACACCATCCTGCACTTTAGCTGTGCAGAGTGAGTGTACTGCAAAGCTTAATGTTTAACCAAAAGCTGAGAGAAATGTTAACTGGTCTGTCATCACTCCTGTTCCTCATTATTTCTTCCAGCTAAGCAATGGGAAAAGATGGGAATTTATTGCCTACAAACTTTTCAGAGAAAATGGGAAAGCATTTCTGTGGCTACCCTTAGGCCACTCCACTGTTTGGTGCTTCCAGCAGCACCGTGCCAGTCGTGTGCTGTTTCTTGACTCATCCTTTACTCTCAATGTGGAAGAAGAGGCTGGAGGACAAAGGGGGAGTGATGAAGGAGATGCTTTGAATAAGCAAGTGTGTGTTGAAATAAGGCATGATCATTAGCAATGATCATTAGGGCAACTCCTTCCCCAAGCCTGCCAGAACAGAGAAGGGGTGACACTGCCCTTGATATTCATCTGCCTCCCTGGGGCTGTGCAGGGATGCTGCAGTCATCCAGCAGCAGGATTGAGTCACACAGGGAGTGTGACAGTCACACAGCCTGAGTCACCACCCTGACCCGTGGAGCCAGGAGAAGCTCCAAGCACACCCTGCTCCAAGGAAATGCTCTGCCTCTGCAGGATTGCTGCTGGGGGCACCAGCCCCGGCCTGGGAGGTGACTGTGACCCTCTCAGGCCAGGAGCAAAGGGTCTTTAGCTGCCCTCTCAAAGGGAAGATGGGAGCTCTCCATTAAATAAGAAATCTGCCCAAGTAGCATCCCTGGCTAGACCTGAGTATGCACAGATCTTGTTTTGCAAGGAAAGGTCTGTGCCCTTTACTCCTGTATCCCTCTACATCTTTGCAAGGCTGAACCAAGTAAAAAAGTCCTGTTTCTAAAAGGAATTTCTCCAGGCATACTTGTGCTCTGCATTCCAGCTGCTCCTTGTGGATGGCTCTAGAAGGGGTTTGCTGTTCCTCCCACTCTCCTCTCTCCTGCTTCCAGCCACCACTAGATCTCAGGATCCTGCAGCACTCACTCCCAGACCCAGCAGCCAAAGGGAATTTCTCCCTATGATCCAGCAGATGCTGAAGCAGAGAACATGGATGCTCAGATAACACTCCTGGCACTGTAGTGGATGAGGTACAGAAGACATCCAGAAAATTGTTGGAAAAGCGTGAGGGAAATAAGATACATGTTTGGCCCTGTCTTAGTGGTCTGTTCAGTAATTTACAGATCAGGTAAATGCCTCAGCTGGGCAGACAGCAAAGCACCTTCCTGGGTTAAATGTAGGGCCTTTCTCCAGCCAGGCTGTTCATTACACCAGTTGCCATTGCTGCATAAATGTAGGGGAGAGTGGGGAGGGTGATGCTGAGAGCAGCCTGGTGAGGTCAGGTGCTGAAACATCAGCAGGGAAAGGCCTTTAGCTGGGCAGAACTTCAAGTTTTTAGGAAAGTTCTTCCTCCAGGCCTTCTCCAAGCTGGAAAAAGAATGTCAGCCCCTTCCACACCCACCAGCACAGCTTCACCAGGAGCTGTTGGCTCGGGCTGTGCAGCCCTTGCAGCCCTGCCCCGTGTGTTTGCACAGTGCTTGTCCAGCTGCCTAGCACTAACCAAAGTCCAGGCTTTGGTCTGTCCCAGAGAATTATGTACAAATGCTGCTTGGGCCAAAGGGCTTTGTTTTTTCTAGTTTCTTTCATCCTCAGTACAATATCCTGGTTGTAGTGTTTGATCCTTTTTCCCCCTCCCTCTTGATTTTAATAATTTAAATCTGCCCTCCTTAATCCACATTTCATTCTGTGGCCAGATAAATAACCAAGAAAGGTTGAGGGACTGAGGATCAGAAAATCCAGGTTTTTTATTTGGTTTTACTTTATTTTGCAGGACTTTTTCTTTAGTTTGCAGTTCATATCGTTGCATAATCACAATGCCAGGAACAAATAAAACACTCCAGAAGGACTTACACCAACAGAACATGAGTGGTTAGAAGGAGTCAGTTGTCCCCTTACAGTATCCAAAGTACACAGAGCTCTCTACGTAACAGGCAGTGGCAGAGAAATTTAGGGACACAAACATTCCCAGGATCCCATATATTCACCTCAAATAAGTTTCAAGGAAGGTGGTAGTTAGAAGAAGCTTAAAGTAAATGTTCAAAAAGCAGGTGAGACGAAACACCTGAATATAAAAATGTTCACTCTTGAAACACAAAAAAAAGCAAGAATCAGGGCTGGTAGATCTTTCACTCTGAAACAGCTGTTTACTGCACAAATCCTCACCCCTCCAAGCAGGGTCTCAATCTGCTCACTCTTTGTTTTGTTTGCTTTCCTGTTACAGTTCTCCAGCTTCCTACACTCCCTGCTTGCCCATGGGAGACCAGTGAAAACTTCCTGCTGTAAGGTTTGTGCCCAGTCATGGAGCAGCTGGGAACATCCCAGTCCCTCCCCATCAGGGCACTAAAGTCACAGCTGTCACTCAGTGGGGACAGACCTGTGCAAGACACGAGAAATTACAGAAGAAATAGGAATGCTCCTGGACTTCTGGTGAACTCCTAACAGCTCTCTGCAGCACCTTTTCTGATCGTGTCTCTGCCTTGCAGGACAAGTTCTAAGTAGGCTTCATACAGCTTAGCTATGGAAATCTGAAGGAAAACAGTGCAATACCCATAAAAGTAGGAAAATTGTAGGGATGGTCAGGAGACAAAGCAGCCCCTGCTGTCAGAAGTCTGAGGGCTGCCACGGGAGTTCTCTCTCCCATCCTATCACAGTTTATTCAGGAAAAGCCAACAGCGTCCTGGCTGAGCAACGTGAAAAGGGGTTATCAGGGACAGACCCTCACTTCTCAGCTGATGTCCTTAGTGTTTGGAAAGCTGCAGCTTAGGTAGGGGAAAGTTTCCTAGCAGCTGTTATGTTATGTGAGTGCTAGTGGAGTTGGACTGGAACTGAGGAAAGTGTTATGCTTACAATGGACCTTCCAGGCTGAAATGAGTCAGAAGCTGGAGTGTTCCCAGAAAACATTTATTCAGCCCTGTGAGCCAACATGAACAAAACCCCCAGAGGGGTCCAGCCCATTTCACTATGATTTCAGTATTTTGTAAAATGTCTTTAAAATTCTTTCAGAGCAGTATAATTAATGTGCCTCATTTTGCAAATAGTTTTAAACATAGCATCAGAGTGTTTGGTTACAAATACATGAACACAAGACACAGCTGTCAGGATTTATTTTTTATCATTTCAATCAAAAGGGGGTCAAAGTTGACAAAAATGTTCCTTATAAATTTAGGGAAAAACCAGTTCAATTATAAGAATTTTGGAAAAGACCCAGCCTGCTTGAGAGCTGAACCTGCTGAGAGTGAATCAGTGCAGTTTTGCTCTTGAAAGCAAAGATGGTGCAGGTCTTGCTGGGGACAGGAGGGGACTCTCTGATTTGGTTTAAATGCCTTTTTCAGGGATGGTCAAAGTGAAGGGCACGTTGTGGATGCCATAATGAAACCCCAGCCCAGCTGTTACATGCTGACTCTCCTTGTGAAAAGGGTCATGGCTTTCATCTGAACTCCACTAGCGGGTTTGGTCTTGGTCTTGGATCAATTCAGGTGACAAATTCAACACGGAGAAGTGAATATTGACCTGCAAGGCAGGCTGGTCTGTCATCTCTGCTGTGGACTTGAGACTTTGACTTGGGACATCCCTCTACTTTCCTCCTTTAGGCTGCCTTGGATTTGTGGCCTTGCGGTGGCAGGAGGAGCCACACCTCAGACTCGTGAAGGATGTGGAGATGCTGGGACATTGATAGGAGAAGGGTTTTCCCCAGCAGCATCCAGCCATCTGGAAATGCAGCTGTGCCTGCTGGAAAATGTGCCCTTTGAAATGCCAAGTCAGTCCAGACACAGCTGTGTCTGTTTGTTGAAATATTTACCAAGTGTCTAAAGGGCAGGGCCGGGGCACAGATCCCAGAGCACAGGCGGATGTGGGAGGATGATGCCCTGACACTTGCCAGCACAGGGAGAAAACCCTCCCACACTGCTCAGCCCATCACAGAGGTTGTGGTGCTGTCACACAGGCAAAGAATCCACCTCTGGCACAGATCCCTGGAGGCTGGATAAGGACTGGGAGAGGGCTGGCTCTGCTCACATGCATCACTCTGCACCTTCGGGAAGCTCCTGCTGCAGCCAGCACCACGGAGCAGGAGCAGGATGAGCTGCAGGCATGTCCCCAGGCTGCAGCTCTTTTCATACCAGCAGTGCCAGAGATGAGGGGGCATCCCCCAAGGAAGGGTGCCACTGGAATGGACACAGGAAAAGGCCAGCTCAGTTTGTTATCACATTGCTGCCAGCTCCAGAACATTTCCCCTTGAGGGCACCAAAGGCAGATCTGTTCAGTTCCTTAAGAACTGAGATAAGAACATTCCCAGCTGACACAAATCGTGAGAGAAAATGTTAAAACCACACATGACAATGGAACTTAGCCCTGAAGAGAGAGGGTTCTTCAGCCTCCATTCCATATCCAGTTCCACACTCTGCTGGAAGCTTGCAAAGCTTTGTAATGCACAATCCATAGCTGCCCAAACACTTTTCCCAAGGAGGGGACCCATAGGGAGGATCCACCATCCAAAAGCAACAAAGGAGATTGCAGACAGACCATGGCTGATGTTGGCTGGGCTGTTGCCTTCAGCTCAGTGTTGTTCTTGGTGCTTGTAGTAAGAGGCATCTTGCTACAAGCCTTTCCAATATCTGGTGGAAGTATTTGGTTCTGGCCTGCAAGCCTGTGGGATTTTCCACTCCTAAGGCAATAACAACATGCTTTGTCAGAGGGTGGAACAGCCTCTCCTGCTGGTGCATGAGGACACCACAGCAGTGCCAAAACATTCTCTGGTCACCGTGGCAGCAGCAGAAGGGACTTGGTGAGCCCAGGGTACCCCACAGCTAAGCATTCCCTCAGCATTCCACTCTTCAGCCCCGTGCAGGGAAGCCTTGCTATTTCATGCTGGGTTTCCTCTTCTCCCATTGTTCTCTCAGGCTACACAGGAAATAAGACAGCAGCAATTTCCCTGCTTCATTTGTTCAGTTGATCCTACAGTCCTCCCCAGCAGATAGCTTCCCACAGTCCAGAAAGCCCCTATAAACACAACACCCCAATGAACACAAGGTTCATTGGCCACACTTTACCCTCTCCATTTCGTGGTTAATCATTTTCACTGCACACTCCACCTACAGCAGCTTTGCAGGGGCCAGCTTTAGCCTGAACTATCTGAACTGTTTGCTGAGCCAGGATAGGGATGCTGGGGGGAGGGATGGGCCTGGGGAGTCAGGGAAGGTGTCCCACACCTGCCTTGCTTTTCTTTCTCACTGCCTCCTCGGGGAGCAGAAATGCACGTGATGGTCCAGCAGCAGCTGAGACAGCTCCTGCCAGAGGGGAAGGGGAACACTCCTGCTGCCCTCGCCCTGCTCGGCGGCTCCGTGGCAGCCCTGGTGGTCTGGAAATGGCTGAGCAAAAAGATGATCCAGAAGAAAATGGAAGAGGCTCGGAGGACCCGGGATGAGGGTATGAAGAAAATGGCAAAGGCTGTCCAGCAGTTCAGGGAGGAGGTAAGCCATCCTCCTCGGGGGGCTGAGTCCCACTGGGGCATCTGCTGGTGCTGTCCTTCAGCTCCTCCTTCCAGCTCATGGCCCCATAGCTTTTGTAAGGAGGAGATGTGCCAGCAGCCCTCAACAAGAGGAAAGGCTGCCCTGGGAGAAAGGGAGATCACTGCCCTGCTCAAGCTGGATGAGTGTGGTGGGAGTTTACAGCTTGGGGAATGTGAAATACTCACTGAGAAGAGGTTTCTGAACAACACAGGTGATGATGCACAGGATCTTCATTGATCCAAACCCCAATTCTTTAATGATCTGGAAATGTCTCTTGCCAATTATGGGTAGAAGCAAGAAAGCTTTTTCCTCTGCTTAACTCTATGTTTGCACATCTGTTCACACCCCTCCACCCTTGGCTCTAAAACTTGGCTTCTGGACAGCTCCAGGGGTGTCTCCAAAAGCAGCATTCTCAGTCAGTGGCACCTCCCATCTGGCTGCCCAGAAGGTGCTTGGTCTAAATTTACACTAATGAAACACCAGGTTTTCAGTGTCCTCTGGGAGCAACCAGGACGTGACATGGAGGTGAATGAGCCAGGCATCACCCACCATAGCCCTGAGTTCTAGTGCAACATCATTTCTAACCACCTTTCCCTTCTGCTCCATTCACTTCTGAGTACACACTGGGTAAGCCAGCTCACGTTTATGCAGGTAACACACCTGGAGATGAAGTGATACATATATCTGCAACATTTTTTCTTAAATATAGATCTATATAAATATAAATATATTGTATAAAACCTCTAAAAACCTGGTGGCACTGAAAACTGCCAGTCTTCTTTACCCGAGTAAAGACACCTGTGAGTTCCTGCTGACTTTCTTTTTTTGGTCAGTTTGATGGACTTGAGCTGTTAAATGTTTGTTCTCAGCCCTGGCTGTCCTGCACTGCCTGTACCTGTTCTGAGGGATGAAAGGACAGCCTGAGGCTTGTGTGCAAGGACTTTGGCACCTTCTGTCCCAGGCAGTGTTTGTTCAGCTGAGGTTATGTCTTGCACGGTGGCGAGGTCCCACTGTGCCAGGAGGAAGGCACTGCCACGTCCTCTGCTGCAGTGGATGGACAAAGCCCTTTGACACCTGGGTTTGCATTCTGTTTGTGATATCCAAACTCAGGATAAAACACTTGGCAGCTCAAGGTCTGAACCACCACATGCAGGATCTGCCTTTCCAGCAAACTCTGCTGATGATGTTGACAAAACTTAACAGCCTTTTACCCTGAGCCAAAGGGTGACTGTGGGGGCTTTGAGCCTGTTAGGGGAACTTCTAGGGTGATGTCCTGCAAGAATTTGCCACAGGTTTAGAGTATGCCTCACTGCTGGAGGTGAGCAAAAGGGGTTTCTCCCATGGTACTCTGCAGCCCTGTGTTAATCTGCCCTTTGCCCTGCCCTTGTCCTGCCCACAGACCATTGGCCCCGACCCCACACTTAACCTGGGACATTGCAGTTTTCTCATCTTCTGTCCCCAGACTCCTTCAGCATGGCTCTACAATAAACTTTGCTGGAACTCTTACAGAGACCCTTTCTGTCCTTCTCTGCTGTGGTGTGAGTGTGGGTTGAGTGGCTGTCTGTGCCTGCCCAAGCAGCTTTCTCAGAAGATATTTTCAGGAGGTAGCAGCAAACATAGTCCATTTTCCATGCTGCTACATAACTGGAGTTGCTGCCCTGGATCCCCTCACCTTCCCTTTGCAGGTCCCCATTGTCCAGACAGATGCCATTCTGTCCCTGCCCCTGCTGGAACTCACTAGAAGACTCCAGGAAGGGTCTCTGTCCCCCAGGACTGTCCTCTACACCTACTTAGAGAAGGTGAGTGTCCATCCACAGTGAGATGGACAGAGCAAATCTTTTACATTCTCCATGCCATGGAGCTTGTGCTGGTAGCTGAAAAGGCTTACTGGAGCTGGATTATGACCAGCCTTTAATACAGCAGATATCAAGAGAAAAACATGCTCTGTCTCCTGGGTCAGATCCTTTGAGATGGCTTGAGCTGGGATG